GGGGGGGGGGGCAACCTTGGTCGGATTGAACACCCTCGACGCCGCAGATTACGAAAGCCATTTCACCACTAGGCTGATCAAATGTGTGATACCCATGATCGCTCCGCAAAGATAACTCTACGGAATCCTTTTGCGCTTGACCCGGGACCGAATCGACCGTTTCGCCTGTTCCACGCTCGGCGGTACCTGCCGGTTCAAAAGCATCCGTGCCTTCTTGAGCCTCTGCTCCGCCCGTGCAAATTTCGCCTCCTCGATTTCCAACAGCCTGTATATTTCCCGGTACTTAGGACGCTGAATATGACACTCGTAACACTCGTTCCCTTGTCGAAGCCACTTGGTGCAGCCTGGATCGTTGCCAGCCATCCGTTTTATCCGATGGCATGTTTCGCATCGAATGATCATCTCGGCCGCGAACGGACCTAAACGGAGCCAGCCCCGGTACCCTGCACTGATCCGGCAATCTCCACATTGACCAGCACCGGATTCCTGCGCGTGAAGAGTTGGGCAGTTGGTCTGCTTGCTCTTGCAAGAGGGGTTCCATCGTCGAATATCTTTCCAGCTCACACTTCGGTGGTCTTTTCTATTCGACCGAACATCTGCGTACGGAAAGGCGGCGAGCAGCTTCATCGCCATGCATGAACCGCAATACAAGCGCATTTTCGTTCGGTCGCTAGCCCAAGACGCCGCAATGCTGGGTACCTGCTCTTGTTCCGCATGCCTGAGCCAATTACTAACGAGGATAGGATTACGAGCAGTCTCGTATCCAGCAATTGCGATCAGGAGGCCGGATCCGCTGGGCAACCATTTCTCGCATTTTTCGGCAGCATTCTTGGTTTGCGCGTCGAGACAACGTAGCTCTTTTCTAATTTTTTCGCGGTAGATTTCGTGTCTGTACAATGCTTTACAGGACTGGCGAAGGGATAGAAGGTCGCAAAGTTCGAGATGAGAGGCGATAGGTATGTGAAGTTCGGCTGGGAGTTCGATGAGGGTAGCCATCCTGGACGCTGTCGGTAGAAATCTCCAGATACCAAAGCGGATTCGGGTTGGTTTGTACCCAAGCGTAAGGATACTGCCGACTGGAATGAGCGGTGGCGTGGGTCTTGAGGTACCCAATACGTACGAACGGGTTCGAACCGGGCGCAAGGCGCAAAGCGTAGTATAATGCCGAAAATCCGTGTCGAGGTTGAGAGACAGAAGAAGCCATTTTGCAGCAAAATTCGGGAAACGAGTATAAGGCCAAGAGCTCTGAAGTGTAGAAGAGGGGGTGCAAACTATCTTCCATCGTGGTTTCCGCGTTGTCAATGAGCGAAATCACAGAGTCCTGCACCTACCCTAGTAGCCCAACGCCATAGTCAATCGCTTACCCTAAAAAGAAGGTTACTATTGATCTTGTCAATAGCGCATCGTGCCGGGATGGTCCGATGAAGTGTCGAGCAGAGCGTAGGACGGGGAGAAAGAGACATGAATCTCAGCAAATTTGCTGAGCAGGAAACACTTGATGATGCTGGTTTGCAGATGGAAAAGGCCTGGCGCTTGGCGAAAATTTTGCATGACACGTGCTGACACGTGACTTTGATGCCCTCTCGTGACTGAAAAGTCACGTGCCGAGTAGCTTATCCGCATCTAGCACGCATCAAAACACGCCCGCATTATTCTACTACTGGGACAGTGATGACCATGACATACGGCTGAAGACGCTGAAGAATTGCAGTGTTCCCCGATCGAACTCTACGAACCATCTCATTCACCAGGCAGACGCGAAATATGCGCATCACCTTGTAACCGTCCATCATCCAGGCTACGAGTCAACTCGCCTATTCGAGATATCCGCATTTGACGGCGAATCCGGTGGCATTCGCCATGGCACTTTGCTTCTTTTATGTGGTATTGTAGCAGGTGGAGCTTGGGATGGGTGGCTGTCGGAGGAAAAGAATGGGACGAGAGTACCGGCCGACCTCGAAGCTGTCCTCACCAAACCAGACTACTATTATCATCTTCCTGACCCGCAATGGCCTGTGGTCCTATTTTTGGACCATCTAACCTTCCCACACGGTCGACCTCCGCCTGGATGGACCTTTGATGACTCCGGGATGACGCCGTTCTTTGACTCTAGTGCTTCGGTATCAAGCATGTCTCAAGCAGTCAGGGATCGTGATAAGACGTGCCGGGTGACCGGATGGGCAGACGGGATGGAGCGCGCACATTTGCGTCCCCGGTGGGCTGTGGATTGGTTTACTCGAGAAGAGTTGGATTGATACAATATCAGCGCAACCCTTTCGGGAGCCACTTCTGTGGATGACATGGCCAACGCAGTTGCGCCTCGACAAGACGTACACACGGAATTGGACAAGGGCACCTTCATATTTGCTCGCAAGCAAGGGAAATGGGTGCCGCATTTTCTCAACCCAACCCACAACTTGGGACCTAGATATCACAATACGCGCATTGACATGCCTGCAGTTGTCAGCGAGGCGTTTGTGTTCGTTAACACTGCTGTTGCTATATTCCCCGAGTCCACGGAAGAGATTGAGAAGCCTAGATGGGGATGATGAACTACGTGACGTACCGAGCGAGAAACGCGTTCGCTCGGATCTCCCTCCTGGAGAGTCGCATAAGACGCCTGCGACACCTACCCTCACTGCTTGCAAAACTCAATCAGACCTCGGTACCTCCGCATCTAGTGACTCTGAACTCTACCCTGAAGGTACGAGGATTAGATTGCCGCGCCAGCGGGGATTGAAGGAGGAGCGTAGATTGAACAAGCACCTAGCTTGTTGTGATTATGACGCCGCTGAAGCAGCTCTACACGGGGATGTTCAACGTCCATCCGGCAAAGCCCGGCTATGCACCGAGTGCCTTGGAGTAGAGTCGAGATGGCGTACCATAACGGAGCGAACTCGTAGGCTAGAGCGCGTTGATGTTTCCAACTCGAAATATGTCATATCCTATTTTTAGTCTTCGTTACGGTACTAAGTTCTATATGTCCGGCCCTAATCTCGACTTTATATTCAGTATTGTGGTCTGATACTTTTTGTGAACCTATTCCTCACAAAGCCACATCGGTGTCATCCCTTGACTGTGGGTTCGACCGACATGCTCACAAGTCCGAAGAGATCACCGCCGCCCTACCCAACGTCGAAGCCTCGAAGGGATATCGCGATGGGCTCGAGAAGATAGCTGTTGCGCCTGAGACAGTTGCCGTTTTACGTGCGCTTCAGGCGTTACCTGATTGCGCCTAGTGCCAGGAGGTCTTGCGAC